AGGGCTACGGACCTTAGGACGAATAATAGGTATAAACCCCCTCAATCGCAGGAAAATAGGAATATGAGAAGTTCTATTCCGATCGAATCTTCATCTATGCGCGGTGGAGACTTAAGAGAGCAACTAAACGCTCAACTTGAGCGAGAGTCGCAAAAGACTAGAAAAGAGGAGCTTGTGGCAGAAAATAAGGCTTTGGCCGAGATGATGGCCAAGTTGGAGAAGTAGATATGTAGTCGCTTAAACAACTTCGAGCAAGTTGTTGGAAAAGTGGCTCAGGCAGTAAATGTTGATGCCAAGATGTATACGTCTAACGACCATCCCTTTACTGAGAACATCATTCCAGTCTCTCTACCTGATAAGTACAAGCCACCTCCAATTCCGCTCTATGACGAAATGAGTGACCCAGATGATCATTTGGAGGTCTACACTGGACACATGGTCCTCCACGAATATCCTGAAAAGGTCATGCGTCAAGCATTTAGGAACCACCTATCTGATTCTGCCAAGAGATGGTTCAGATCCGTGAAGCCCAACTCTCTAATGAGTTGGGATGATTTAAAGAACGCCTTCTTGACTCAGTTCATAGGTGTCAAGAAATACATTCTATCGAAGCAGAACCTTTCAAGGGTCTACTAGGGACAAAACAAGTCCCTAAAAGACTGAATAGCGAGCTTCGAAGAGCAAGTGGCTACCACAAAAGAAATCATCGACGAGGTAGCACTGATGATGGGGGCTTTAGCAAGTATGAGGAAGGATATGCCATACAGTACATACCTCGATCGGAGGCCACTCCAGACATACCAGGAATTCTTGACTACAACTAAGGGATTCATTAATGCAGAAGGGGCAAAAAAGGCCTTGAAAAGCAAAGTGGTGGCCTTGATAAAAAAAAGAGAGAAGGCAGCCGAGCCATCAGAATAACGATAAAAAGCGCTGAGAAAATCCTAAGATGTAGGCGAGACAGAAGTATAACCCTGTCCCCACTATAAAAAATCAGAGCGGAATCGCTCCCACAAATCAAGGAGACGCGAAGCGGTTCAAGCCATAGAGGTATAACACATACACTCCCTTGTCCATGGGAATTGAGGATGTCTACCATGAGATTAACCATATCCAAGTCTTGCGTCGACCACCACCGCTAAAGTCTAATCCTGTAAGAAGAAATCAGAACAAGTACTACAGATTCTAGGACGAGGGTCGGCACATGACAACTCTATCAAAATAGAGTTAATTGAGCATTTCCCAAGCTTAAATTATTACCTAGAGGGTAATTAGTATTAGTTCTCTCCTATATTTTGTCTTGTTAATAGTTTTTAGTTATTTGTGTTTCATAAATTCTCTCTCTCGTGATTAGCGTTTAAAAAGAGCTAATTTAGGTGCACTTTGTGGTTAATCTCAGCTTTAAGAAAACGTGCTCGTTTGGAGCTTTGAGCAGCTTCTCATTTTTGGAGTATGAAGGAATCCTAGTCAGCATTGCCCTGCCAGGACAAGCTGGGCCAGATGTGTGTTTTGCTGACAGCTGGACCTGAGCTGGTGAATGGGCTGATTTTGTCTGTGAAGGGTGCTGATTGAGCCACTCATTGGAGGCTTTCTCATGTGCTGCCACATGGAATTAGGGTACTATTGCGTGATTTATGTGCTCGCAAGTGCACGAGTCGCCTCAAGTAATAAAGTGTGAGTAGAGTATCGTTCCCACGAAGAAAGTTATCAATATATTTTTCTTAATAAGATCCAAGAGATGCAATGTAAACAAATTTAATGGTTTGATTCAATTATAAAGACTACAAGAATTGCAATAAACATGAGTAAATAAATACACACTAAGTTATCAAAGGAGAAAATCAATATATGTGAAAACTGGGACTCAATTTCCCCTTTCCTATAATCTGGACTATTTATGCTACGACTTTTGCTATAGCAATGTTGTCAGTTAACCTGAAACACGAATTTAGCATAGGAATCTTCCGATCAACTTATGATTTTGCCTCTTTACTCATATTTCAACATATTCCTATGAGAAATCTAAACATAGAGGTTAAGTTAAGCTTGGGTTTCAATTGGGCTATGTGAGTCAAGTGTATATTCCTATACTACTTGCAAATCAACTAGATTTCTGTGTGAAACTTAGCTAAACAACACATTGTTCAATATTGGTCTAATTCCAATCAACTTCCCAGCAAATTGAACTCACAATCTTTTGTTTAAGATGGCTAATCAATAAACAAAAATGGGCAGTAACGCTTATATTGAACAAACTTGAACAAGACAAAGTAAGCATAAACAATGTTGATTACAGTTCTGGGTACTTTATCATCCCAGTCAAATGAATTTAGCTCATTCTTGTTTCGTTAATTACAACAAAATGAACAGCCATGAGTTGAATACAAAGAAGAGGAAAGATAAACCAAGATGAGGAGAACAAAAGTGAAGACTAGGTGAAGCTGGTGGTCTCCTCCCGCGGCTTCCTCCTTGAGATTTCCAACCCAATTTTGCCTCCTCCGTACTTGTCTTTCTTCTTTCTCTCTTCTCTGGCTTTTCTTTTCTTTTTACTCTATGCTGGTGTTTTTCTCTCTACGGGGTCTGTCTTCTATTTTCCCCTATTGTTTTCTTTTATTCCTCCTGCGGCGCTCCCCCTCTTCCCTCTTGGGTTTCCAAGTGCACCCCTCTTTAGGGCAACCAAGGATGCTGAGGTGGCATGTTGGGTCCAGCTGACTAGGCACCAAATTTGTCTTATGCGTTCTGTATCCTAATTCCCGTGCAAAGTTGTGCACTGACGTCATCCACTAAATGCACTCTGTCACATTTTTGCTGTAGAAATACTGCATCATTTATCATCACAAAACCTGCAAATCAGAAACGACACCTTCTTTGCCACACGTTAGCACTTTTCTTCAAAGTTAACACATAAACCTCATACAACTGAATTCCAAGAGGGTGCACCACATGAACCAAAAGTTGAGCAAATGAAGCAAAAAATTAACAACTAAACCTTTGGATAAGCCAACTATAAGCCTAGAAATGCCTAAAATAACTCTAATTCCTAGAGTTATCACACCCCCAAACTTAAAGTATTGCTCGTCCTCGAGTAATGACACTACAAAACAACTGACACTACAAAAACAACACATAAACAAATGACACTAAGAGAATTCCCTTTTACTTTTGCACGCTTAAGCTCTACACCAGCTCTCTTTGAAATATAAGATCGGCCAATTTCTCCTTCATTTCAAATGCTCTTCCCTGGTGTGTGTGTGCACACACATCAATTGTGCTTCCTTCCCGATCACCCACGTCAACCTAGACCACAATCATCAAGCCTAGAAGTGTCTCCATATGTTGACCTATTGACTCCTTCTCCACTAATGAGGAATCACCTAGCACTTGGAATCAGACTTAAGACTCAAATTCTTCCCAACTTGACACCTCATTCCCAATTCTTCTGATTTTTAATCTTATCTTTCTCTCTGTTTTTTTTAATTTTTTTAATTTTTTTACTTCTTTGTAATGCCACAATTGCCTTTTTACGTGAATGCCAACATTTGTGATGAAGACACCCGGTTACTCAACAAAGTTGCAATTCAAAGTGCTTTGCATACTCTTATCTCGGTTTACCGTTTGATGCAAAAGTGAACATGGGGCTCATGCTCACTCCTGGTTACTAAGCTCCAAGACAGCTGAGTAATTTTTTTTTTTTCAAACTAAACAGAATGGTGTCGTTAATCAAATCTTTGTCTCAGTCGTCCTCCTTATACTAGGCTTCCTAGAATTTTGCCTTAAAGGAGTCTCTAGGTCAATTATAAAAACCTAAGCTCTCAAAGCAATCTAGCCATTAATAAGCTCTCGGGAAGTAACATTACGAATGTTGTGGAAAGAATTGCATAGAGAATTACATTCAAAAGTCAAGTTCTATGGGTTTTCACTTACATCCAATTTAAGTTAATCTATCACAAAAGCATGCCTTGAATTAGCCTACCTCATCAGTGAAAACCACACACTTTTCACACCACAAAAATTGACAAAAAGAAACTCTCCCTGCACACAAAACACACCAGAAATAACAAAACACAAAAACCAGAAAAATAACCAATCTAAAAAATAAACGAACCGGTCTCAACACAAACAGGAAATACACCCCCCCAAACTTGAAATCAACAGTGTCCCCACTGTTGAAAAAGAAATAAGGCAAAAAAAAAAAAACATAAACAAAAATTAACTAAATAGATAAAAGAAATAATAAGAAAAATGAGGGTAAAGGGGCATCCCTGAAGGGCTAGAAGTTGCGATCTGGCCTTAATCATCTGCTCCCGCTACAATATCGGTGTCATCGGTGGGCTGACTAGTAAATGGATCGAGAACATGCGTGGGAAATTCAGGGAATGTGTGGAGCCTTTTGGTATTTGCCCTGAAGGGTCTTTGCATCACAGCTTCTTGGGCCTCCATATACTTCCACACATCCTTCTGACTTTTCTGGGCCAGCCGAAGCTCCTCAAGAATGTCATGTTGAGTTAGCTCAACAAGAGAAATCATGCTCTCTAAACTGGATAAGCAACTGGACACCGAGTCCTTAGCGCTCGAAGGAGGTGTGGGATTGTTTGAGGAAGGTTGAGTTGGTGCCTCTGGAGGGTCTTTATCAGAATGGTCAAACCTGGCTATCTTAACATTGCTTTCTTGTGAAATCCTAGCCACTGTAGCTGGAATAATCTTTTGAGTTATCTTCAGCCTTTTCTCTCCACCCTCGAATACTACTTCGTGCATTTCACATAGCCGTTCGAATAGCCCCAACGACTCAAACTGCCTTCCTCTAGTTGTACCGGTTGATCTTGCTTCCAAACAAGGCAACTGACTACTCACTTCTGAAATTTCTCCTTCCAACTCTTGCTCCAGCCCCTTTAAAGCACTAGTATCCATTACATTCACCACAGAGCATTCTTCCACTTCATCAGGAAATCTCATTGCTTTGAGAACATTAAAAGTGACCAGCTCATCATTGACTCTCATTGTTACTCCCCTTTTTGAACATCTATTAATGTCCTCCCTGTAGCTAGGAATGGTCTCCCCAAAATGATGGGCACCTCCACGTCAGCTTCATAATCTAAAATAATAAAATCAGCGGGGAAGATGAACTTGTCTACTTTCACCAGGACATTTTCAATTTTTCCTTCTGGATGAGCTAGAGATCGATCAGCCAATTGAAGAGTTACTGTGGTTGGCCATGCTTCCCCGATTCCAAGCTTCTTGAAAATTGACATAGGCATAAGATTTATGCTTGCTCCTAAATCACAGAGAGCCTTGCCAAAGTAGTTATTGCCAATAGCACATGGGATGGTGAAACTCCCAGGATCTTTTAACTTTGGAGGGATTTTATTATGCAAGATGGCGCTGCTTTCTTCCGTCATTGCCACTGTTTCGAATTCTCCAAGTCTTCTTTTCTTCAAAAGAATGTCCTTCATGAATTTCACATAACTAGGTATTTGCTCAAATGCCTCCACCAATGGAATGTTTATATGGAGTTGCTTCAAGACATCTAGAAACTTTTTAAACTGCTTTTCTTGCAGATGCTTTTGAAATCTTTGAGGAAATGGTGGCGGTGGTCTATCATTCTGCTTTTCTGTCAAACTTTACTGCAGCGTTGCTGTAGGTTTTACTGTAGGTTCTGCAGCATCGCTTCATTTTCTAGATTCTTCTACTTCTGCTTCCTTTTCCACTTCACCTTGGATTGAAGAGGGCTCTTCTTGGCACTTGGGCTGTTTAGTCACTCGCTCTACTTCTCTCCCATTCCTCAGCGTAATAGCCTTGCAATGCTCTTTGCCTTCACGCCTGGGATCTTCGGTATTACTTGGGAGTGCGCCTGTAGGGTGACTTGTCAAGGCATTAGCTAACTGCCCCACTTGATTCTCTAAGTTTCTCAATGAAGCTGCTTGGTTATGAATCAGTGCCGACTGATTTTGAATAATACATCATTCTTTGCCATATACTCCTTTAACAAGTGCTCAATCGATGAGTATTGTTCCACCGGTTGATGTCTTGATTGTTGTGGAAATCCAAGAGGATGATGGGGGTGGTTTGCTATGGAAGTAGATGCTGTGTTCTGCTCTTCAGAGTTCCAAGAAAAATTTGGGTGCTGCTTCCAACCTGGGTTATAGGTGTTGGAATACGGATTGTTGTTTTTGTGGAAATTACCCACATAATATGCTGATTCCAGATTGGATGGACAACTATCAAAGAGATGCCCTTCACCACAGTAAGTACAAGAGACCGCTGTAAACTGAGGAGAATTCACCCCCTGATTCATTGATTTCAAGATACTTGCCAAAGATGATACTTGAGCAGTTAAAGTTGTCACCGTATCCACTTCATGAACTCCTGCTACTCTCCTAGCCGCAGCTGCTCTTTCCGCAGGCCACTGATAGTTGTTATTAGCCATTCGTTCCAAAATCTCATAAGCCTCATTGTAAGTCTTTGCCAAAATAGCACCATTTGCTGAAGCATCTACTATGGTCTGAGTTTGCCCATTAAGTCCATTGTAGAACGTCTCCATCTGAATCTAATGAGGAATCCCGTGGTGAGGGCATTTGCGCAATAATTCCTTAAACCTCTCCCATGCCCCATACAAAGATTCCCCCTCATGTTGCTGAAATCCAGTGATGTCATTTCTAAGCTTGGCATTCTTAGTTGGAGGAAAATACTTCATCAAAAATTTCTCTGCCAACTCTGTCCACGTCACCACAGACTCCGGGGGTAAAGAGTTTAACCATTCCCTAGCTTTATTCCTCAAGGAATAAGGGAAGAGCTTTAGTTTCAAAGCTTCTTCTGTAACCCCTAGAAGCTTAAAAGTATCACAGACTTGCATGAATAGCCTGAGATGCAAGTGGGGATCTTCAGTTGCCATGCCACTAAATTGGCCTAGTGTTTGCAACATTTGAAACATGACCGGTTTAAGCTCAAAATGAGGTGCCTGTATCTTTGGCCTAATGATACCCGGATTGAGCCCAAGTAAAATCGGTATGGCATATTCTTTGATGGCCCTATCCCTATCATCTGCCATGGCTGGCTGGGTAACTGGATTGTTAACATGTACGGGCTGCCCAAGATTGGCTGCATTGCCGGCAGCTTCCTCTGCCATTCCTTCAACAACCGCTAGACCTTGCTGCTCCCTTCTCCTTTCTAGGAACGTTCTGTCAATTTCTGGATCCAAGGGCAGCAAATCACAGTCTTATTATCGATTCATGTGAGAAGAAGAATAGCTGAAATCTACGAAAACAAAATTGTCAAGTAAAATAACAAAAATACTTGAATCTTACAAAGATCAACTATGATAACTGTCCCCGGCAACGGCGCCAAAAACTTGTTGCGTGATTTATGTGCTCGCAAGTGCACGAGTCGCCTCATGTAATAAAGTGTGAGTAGAGTATCGTTCCCACGGAGAAAGTTATCAATATATTTTTCTTAATAAGATCCAAGAGATGCAATGTAAACAAATTTAATGGTTTGATTCAATTATAAAGACTACAAGAATTGCAATAAACACGAGTAAATAAATGCACACTAAGTTATCAAAGGAGAAAATTAATATTTGTGAAAACTAGGACTCAATTTCCCCTTTCCTGCAATCTGGACTATTTATGCTACGACTTTTGCTACAGCAATGCTGTCAGTTAACCTGAAACACGAATTTAGCATAGGAATCTTCCGATTCACTTATGATTTCGCCTATTTACTCATATTTCAACATATTCCTATGAGAAATCTAAACATAGAGGTTAAGTTAAGCTTGGGTTTCAATTGGGCTATGTGAGTTAAGTGTATATTCCTATACTACTTGCAAATCAACTAGACTTCTGTGTGAAACTTAGCTAAACAACACATTGTTCAATATTGGTCTAATTCCAATCAACTTCCCAACAAATTGAACTCACAATCTTCTGTTTAAGATGGCCAATCAATAAGCAAAAATGGGCAGTAACGCTTATATTGAACAAACTTGAACAATATCAAAATAGACAAAGTAAGCATAAACAATGTTGATTACAGTGTCGAGTACTTTATCATCCCAGTCAAATGAATTTAGCTCATTCTTGTTCCGTTAATTACAACAAAATGAACAGCCATGAGTTGAATACAAAGAAGAGGAAAGATAAACCAAGATGAGGAGAACAAAAGTGAAGACTAGGTGAAGCTGGTGGTCTCCTCCCGCGGCTTCCTCCTTGAGATTTCCAGCCCAATTTGGCCTCCTCCGTACTTGTCTTTCTTCTTTCTCTCTTCTCTGGTTTTTCTTTTCTTTTTACTCTCTGCTGGTGTTTTTCTCTCTACGGGGTCTGTCTTTTATTTTCCCCTCTTGTTTTCTTTTATTCCTCCTGCGGCACTTCCCCTCTTCCCTCTTGGGTTTCCAGGTGCACCCCTCTTTAGGGTAACCAAGGATGCTGAGGTGGCATGTTGGGTCCATCTGACTAGGCACCAAATTTGTCTTATGCGTTCTGTGTCCTAATTCCCGTGCAAAGTTGTGCACTGACGTCATCCACTAAATGCATTCTGTCACATTTTTGCTGTAGAAATGCTGCAACATTTATGATTACAAAACCTGCAAATCAGAAATGACACCCTCTTTGCCACACGTTAGCACTTTTCTTCAAAGTTAACACATAAACCTCATACAACTGAATTCCAAGAGGGTGCACCACATGAACCAAAAGTTGAGCAAATGAAGCAAAAAATTAACAACTAAACCTTTGGATAAGCCAACTATAAGCCTAGAAATGCCTAAAATAACTCTAATTCCTAGAGCTATCAGGTACAATAAGTACCTGTAGCTGAGAAGAAAGAAGGTGTCCTTGGTCATATTTTGTAACATAGGGGCGGCTAAACTTTGAAAAGGAAACCACCTCTATTTCTCTGATCAAGTACCAGCTCTAGTACTGGAAAGAAGAAGAAGAAAACGTCACAGGGTGTTAAACGTGAAGGAAGGACCATTGTTGATGCAGGAAGTGCTAGAAGAAACCTTGAAAAAAGGGGATTCGGATTCTCTCCTCATCACCTTAGTTTTTCTTACTCTCAATACTCTGTTTTACCTTGTTGAAGAACATTTACGTTTCTCTATAAATCTGAACTCGAATCCATATATAACTCTATAAGATTATGATTTGTTGGCTGAGATTGTTGAGTTGTTAAATATTGAAATGTTAGTTGATGTTGAATGGATCTGATGATTATTTCTTTGTTTATTCAAGTGAGCTGAATTTGTACCTTAACTGTGATTGGGAAATCATAAGAGGGGAGTATAGCTTTGATTAGATCTAGGAAGATTTAGTTGAGTGGACACAGCTTGAATAGTGCAAGTTTTTAGATCTTGTTTAAGATTTTTGATTCACATGATATAGGAATATATTGTGTCTTTCATAACCATATGATTTAGAGCTTCATTCTCTGATTTTAGAGTCTAGATTTGCAAAGGGATTTTTTGGATTTAGTAAATCTGGTTAACAAGGAAGTTTTCGTTGCCGTCCATTGCTGCAGCAACGCGCATCATTGATAGGAGACAATTTAGCAATTATGAGCCACGAACAGTGACTTTGGCCAATTTATATGCACATTTTGTTATTAATTAGATTTATCTTTGTTTGTTTATTTTCTTATAGCCAGTTTATTCTTAGGTTTTTAACATCTTAAAATTAACTTTATTAATTTAGCAATTTGATTTCAAAAGCTTTCAATCCCTGTGGGACGATACTTGATTATCATCATTTTACTACTGTTGACTCGTGCACTTGCGAGATTCTAGATTCACAATTTTAGGCAACAGCACACAAGTACAAAATGCTTCGATTTAAAGGATGAAATCGAGAGGCTAATTCGAGAAGGGAGGCTCAATGAGTTCAGAGACGACTGTCGGGGCAGCCATAATAATAACTGGCAAAACTATGATTGTAGAGATGATCAAAGGCAGGACAATCTGCCAAAACCCGTTAGCGTGATTAGGAAAATTTTTGGGAGGCCATACCTGGGTGGCACCTTTCGACGCACACAGAAGGAGTACGCGAAGGAAGCAAAGGAGAAGTTCAACTAGCGTAGTATGACTATAGCTAGTCGAGAGCTTAAGGCCGCATGATATGATGAAGTTGAGATTACATTCTTAGAGGCTGATGCTAACAATGTGCATTTTCCATAGAATGACGCTCGCATAATTGAAGTTATGATCGGGAACTACACAGTTTGCCGAATCCTGGTCGACAATAGTAGTTCTGTGGATATTATATATGCTGATTGCTTCAATAGGATGGGAATTTCCCAAACAAGGTTCAGAGTAATACCCAACCCTTTATGGCTTTACCGGGGATTGTGTTATCCCTGAGGGGATAATGGAGTTACCGATAACCATATGCGACCGACCATACACCTAGAT